TTTGTTGTCATTTTCATGGTAAAAGTTCCTCAGATGTATCAAACTAATATAACACTTGCAGATTAGTGTGGATTAATGAGCTAATTATACGGTGCTAAATGTTTAAAACTTTGCAAGAAATCGGTGGAGGAACAAAACTAATTAATTCATCCTCTACTTATCCTAAAAATGGATTACGGGTACAGTCAGTTTCATCATTCAATTTCACATTCTTTTTACTTTTCACTAGCGGCACTTTGCAGTAAATAATTGGTGGTTTTCAAATTCAAGAATGGGAAGATGTGTGATACACCCAGATGGGGGTTAAGGGCCATAGTTTTATCATAATATTCATAAGATTGTACTTTGCAGGGACTGCAGATGAAAACTAGCTATTTAGCTATAATCTGGTGTGGAATGTCTGTTTTTTATGATCTTAATGTCTCTGTACACTGTCCCTTCAAATAAAGACTAAACTAAATTAAACTAAATTAAAAGGTAAATTCACAAATGTTTAAAGACCCTATATTACTCAAATTTGATTCTTCTGTGCTTTAAACCGTTAATAATATTAATATTATTATAATGTTGTTACTGCATCAAAAAACAAAACAAAATGATTGAATAATCCGTCAGTATTAGGCTGTCTGCATTTCAAAAGATGAAAATGCTCTGTTCCACCTTGTGATGTCATGTAGTGGTAATTTTCAACAGTTACATTTCACCTTTTGTTCAGTAGAGATTGGCAGTCCCAAGACTGAAATTATTCAAATGATTCTAGTGAAGTGTATGGAGTTTAAAAAACACAGCGGAGTATTTCCTGTATTGCCATATGACATCACAAAGTGGAAGAAAGTGTTTTCAGTTGGAGAAAACAATGTATCATAATAAGGAAGCACCATTATGACACAGATCAGAAAAGAGTAATATGGGCCCTTTAACCTGATCATTGATATTACGGACTAGATCCAAGACATTGCCATCTGTATTTAACCACTATAAATTTAAGATGCCACAATCTGTATGAAATCGGTGACAAAAAGATGTGCAATACAGGCCAGCAGAATTTTCTTTTTAACTTTTCTACCGTGAAATTATTTAAAAGTGTGTAGATTTTGTGGACAAACCTGGATGTTCTTTTGGGAGTGAAAATGCTTCTCCCATTAGGAGTGAGTCTGATTTGAGTGGCTCAGAGCTCAGAGTGTAGTACTGGCTAACAATAGGTAATATGGAGAAATGCATTTTCTCCATTCTCTTCTGTTAAAAGCAGCTGTAAGAGGCTGTCTCCTCTCCCCTGGCAGCACACTCAGTTGACATACAGTAAGTGGGGTTGCATTAGTGCACAGTCTAACTCACAGAGCATGAAATAAAAGATGGTAGCGGTTACAAAGCATAATAGGATTTGTTAATAGCTTCCATATATTATATTTGCTCAGATTTGACACTGGGGCTGCGCAAATCTCTTTAGGAAACAGCTTTTCACAGCAGGAGGAATTACTGAGAGCAAATCCAAGAAGAGCAAATGAGCTAAAATTGTTTTGCAAACTGGTCTAACGTTCAATATGCAGTTCTGTGTAAAGTTAGCAAAAGCAGTGAAGTGTTAAAACAGTGATGCTCAGCTCAAGCATTTTCAATAATATATGAAGTAGTATTGTATTGTTGGAATTTTTCATCCCCTATAGTTCCAACATGGACACCAGTAGCTCTATTACTGTTGATATTTCTTTTTACCTAAGGGCATATCTAATCGTACATGTCTAAAAATGTCTGTAAAACATACCCACATTTTTCAGCAAACTTTGTCTGTGATCTGGGCTGTTTTTAGTGCATTGAAAGCTGTTTTGTAGAAAATATAACCCCATAGATCTCATTCTGATCGCTGACTGGATAAAGGAACACCATTCAGCGGTAACTACAGTGCAAGTAGGCTACATAACAGAAGAAAAAACTAAAATACATCAGTTTTCTCTGGCAATTGGTCTCACAAAGGTTCAAATGCAATTCTTGATATGTCCATCCAGGTACTACACATAACCCTGTTTAGCTTTGGATATCAGACAAAATTGGGCATTCTCAAGGTGGTACAGATATGATATGTTGAGCGTGCATCTCTCCAAGTCCCACACTCATAGTAAATACACTTTTCCTGCCTCAGAGACCCAGAGATCTGTAGATATCTCCTGTCTCCCCCAGTCAAGTCAAAGTGGCATTCAAGTACTCATACATACAGTATTTGATAGATCCTATATTTTTCATCTTTTTCACATTATTTTATTATATTATTAAATTCTTCAATATCTTATTTTATTTTTAATGCATTTTTCCCACTTTGTTTACAGACCACAATAAAGTTGACAATAAAGTTGACATTTTCTATCACAGATTAACCCGTGCGTCTATTTATCTGTGAATGTGTCAGATACCAACAAGCAGCATCATGAAGCTGCAGTCACACCTTCCCTGTTCAGTCTCCATACCAGAAACGTGTTACAGCACCTGATCCTCACCTCTCCAACATGGCAACTCTATCTTTCTCCACAGCTGTCGAATCAGGAAGCAAATCTCAGGTAAAAGTACGGATGTCTGTCTCACAAAAATCCCAGATGAAAAAAAAAACATGATGGCATTATGATTATTACGGAGAAAGTTGTCAAGCTGTCTGCAGGGCAGCCGATCATCTGTCACAACTGTCCCCTTGAGATGAGCTGGGAGAGTCAATTACAGTTTGTGCTGCTGCTAAATGTTAGGGATCATTAAATATGGAGGGGAGCTGGAAAGAGAGAGTGCGAAAGACATTTTGATTTCAGCTTGTGGTGCTTGTATTACCAGGTGTACCATTAACATTCAGATTTACCAGATGGAGCTAGTGAAAATGATGAAGGCATATTCTAGCCCAAGCATACGCAAAGTCCTTTTCTGAATACCTCGCCTCAAACTAGAAGTGATAAAAGCTCGGTCGGTGGTAGATATCCACCCAAAAACCACAAGGTTAGCAGCTCAATCACCTATGCACGGAAACAGATTAAGGGTCCTGTGGCAACCATAGACTGTAAATATAAATGAAAACAGGTAACCCGCTAGTGGCGCATTCCAAATAGGAAGTGAGCATGGAGGTGTGTCCGGCTCCATTGACTCTGGCTCCAATTGAATTTACACTGAAAAATTGTCACCCCGTTCTCTGTAACTGTTGCAGTGAACCGTGTCATTTTTGTCTCAAAATGTTTGTATTAACCTGCTCTACATGATCATGGTGTTTTAATTTCGCTATTTTGTCTGTAAATAAATTCCTGTTCTTAATATGGAACTCTGCTCCAAACTCGCTCCTATAACAGCAAGTCTCATGACCTTCATTTGACTGGAGCCGAACACTATGGTGACGTCACACTCCCTTAGTCCACTTCTTTATAAGGCTATGGTGGCTACCTATTTTTTCATGTAATTCATTAAGATGAGGTTTGTCACAGTATAGTATTATTGTAAAAGTATATTTTATTGAATACAAACCCGGAAGTAGTGTTGGTGCAGTGTTAGAGGGCTAGTTATTCTTGGTAATTGAAGTTGGTAATAAAATGTGCTAAAAATGTATCAGGGTGAGAAATCGGGATGTTAAGAATATCTTAAATTTTTTGGTTGAACCACTGCAGCTTAAAATGAACTTGATCTGTTTTTCACAAGTTGAAAATGGTTCAAATTGGGTACAGGGCCTCTACATCTCAACAAAAGAAACTCAGATAATTTGAATAAAAAACTATTTCCTGATAAACTGTTTCCAAAAAACATTTTGGAAATTGGACTAAAAGCATTTCAATGAGGCAAACTAATTACCCTGAATATGTGCTACTGAACCACACAACAGTTCACATTATTGATTTGGCCATCTTGCCAACAGAAAACCCACCCTACAATTTCAAACAAAATGCTTAATTTACAAAATCATGATCATAATAATTATCATACACTTATTTCTATTGTCTATGCCAATTTTTAATTTCAAGCATTTAAAGCTGAAGTACCCAACTTTTTTCTCTTAAATTAGTGGTATGTTTTCCCCCAAGAAAGTGTATTATAAAAGCTGAATTTTGTGACAAAAATCAAACCATTACACTCGGTCTTCATCTAATTAGAACATATTTTATCTGTAGAAATTTATCAAAGAGCCATGTGAGTCACTGACTTTGGGATGACAGCTGATTGGTTGTGCAAGAGTGGTCCACCCTTAATGTGAAATGAGGAAGTTGGCATTTAAATATAACTATTTCATAGGTCTTACAAACCCTTTGGTACATCATTAGTATTCCCCTGCACGATTTTCTTGGCCACTGGCACAGCTTTAGAACAGCTTTTTCAAATAGAAAGGTGAAGCAGAGCGGACCACCAAAGAACAGCCAATCAACTCTCAACCCAAAGGGTCATATAGTGACTCATATGACTCTTTCTCACAAGTTCACAAGTTTGTGAGTGGTAAAAGTGTTTATAATTGTATGAAAACATGTGGTGTTTTGATTTTGTCACAAGTTTCTGCTTTTATACAAAACAAAATTGACTAATTTATAAGAAAAATGTGGTAATGCAGCATTAAAGGGCCTACAATACACTATTTTGTGATTTGTTATAATGTTGTTTACTCATCAAAAACATACCCACAGTTGTTTTTTTTGTTTCGTTCACACATTAAACACACAGATCCTGCATATTTAGGCTGAGTTCTTTGTCTGTTCCACCTTGTGATGTCATGTGGTAATACAGTGCTTGACATTGTTTTTAAACTGACCTCCACTACAATTATTTGGATAAATTCAGTCCTGGAATTTTTTATCTCAGCTGTACAAAAGGGACAATACATCTGTTAACATGAAAACTACCACTACATGACATCACAAGGTGAAACAAAGCAGTTTGAGCTTTGGAGAAAAATACAACTCCTGGCATGTTTTTGACAAGGTTACAACATTATGGCTTGACACTAAAGACTCAATTTTGCGTAATATTGGACGTTTAACTGAATCCATTGTTGCCCATACCTCGTACTCAAACTCCTCTGGTCTGTCTACATCAGCTGCTCCCGGGGAGAGGTAGGCTGTCCCATCGTAGTACTCCTGGTCCATCGTGTGCAGAGAGTGGCAGCTGTCAGAGGAGAAAACAGACAGAGGAGGCGTTAACATCACCGCTTCTTTTAAATCCTTCACATTCCCCCTTTTTTGTCTTGGCTGGGTAGAATAAAGGATTTGTCAAGGGCTTTCACTTCTGCCTGAGTGTGTGTGTGGTAAAAGTACAGCCCCTTGTTAATAACTGCATATTATTTACTTCATGTACTTGACAGCCTGAACCCCCACGTAATACAGTGTTTGTCAAATGTGCGTTGCTCATAACAAAAGGAAATAGCAGCGTGACAAAATGAGCAGCTCCCACACACAAAAATATGACAATAAACTTCTACTCTCTATTGGAATTATTAAGATTTTGTTAAAGGTTTTGTGAAGATGGGCAAAAATACTAAAATGGCATAAAGTTTAACATTTTAAATGATTAATGGGAGTTTTATCTGGCCTTTGCACACTCAAAGATATATTGAATTGCTAAATGTAAATGGTAATGTGATCCTTAGCAGTATTATGTATTATTTAAAGGTAGACGTAACTTTTCTCTGCCATTATCTTGTCTCCATGGATATGTTATTACTTTGTCTGAAGTGTTCCAGAGTATGGCATTATACTCAATACTCAAAAATTACATGTTTTTATTGCTACAAATATATAATGAAAAATTTTCTCTCTGAGTTAGGCTTGCTTTTTCACAGATTTGGCTTTTAAACTTAGCCTTGTAGGATTTGTAGTGTCAGCTGCCTGTCTCCATGGCGATTAATATGATATTGTGGAACATCCTATGTAACACAACAGTGACCCTTGTGATCTTTAAGCCATATTAGAATGATGTTACCTCCTCAAAAACATACCTGGCGTTTTGTTTTGTTTCATTCACACATGTTTGATTAATCCTTTATTATAAGTCTGCCTACATCTCCAAAGCTCAAAATGCTGTGTGCCACCTTGTGATGTCATGAAATGGTAGTTTTCAAGTTAACAGCTACCTTTTAACTTTTGTTAAACTAAATATGCAGGGTTTGAGTGTTAAAGATGTGTAAATAAAACAAAACACAACTCCAGGTATGTTTGTGATGAAGAAACAACATTATAACATTGATCAGAAAATGGCATAATATGGACCCTTTAAGATCTACATAATATAATGCAGAACAAAGGAAAATAAAGAGTTTAGAATTGCCTCTAAGTATAAGACTTTTGTTGTCAGTGCAAAAACAACTCGATAAAATGTTCCCATATTTTTCTTATGGTTCCTTACAAATGCGATCCTCACCTCCATCTTGAGCACCATTACGCATAATTTTACATCTCTCTAATGTTGTTTATTGAATTGCACCTGTTGTCAGACAAAGAGAAGTAAATAATATGGGAGTTTTATGGATCGCATTGATTACAAGTGAGCTGAGGCCTGAGGCAGCAGTCGCCGGTTAGTGGCCAATGTGTAGCCTTGTTTATTAGCCCATTCCATATAATCACCTTGTAAAGCTTGTGTGACTCAGAAAAAATATGCAATGTAACGTCATTTACTGGCTGAGGACCCATGGGGGATGGTTAGATTAGACTGCATATCTTTTGACAATAATACATATTTGAAATGGCATTTTTTCTGCAAAGAAACATATAGATGGAGAATTGGCTGATGTTGCTCTATAGATGCTTAAAGGTGCGTTGTGTTACTTTTCGATTGGAGGTCCACAGTATGACATTAAACAGATCTACCTTACATTTACAGGTGGTTTTATAGCTCAAAAATATCGAGAAAAAACTTGCATTCTGATTGTGAGCAGGGTTGCCTCTCCATAGATCTGACCTGTAACTTGGTCTGGTTTAGTTGCCATTGCAGATAGTGTGAAACATTCCTGACAAGGCAAAAACATTTCCATGAATAAAAGCATGTGATGGACCATCCACCAGAAAAGTTACACAATGCATCTTTAAACAAATCCTCCAAAGACCCAAAAATGAGGATTATATAAAGGTATTTTAGGTGTTTTCCGCATTTAGATTTAATTGTATTGAATCACTTTTCTTCCTGTAATGAAGCTGCAGCTATGCTCTCTTGCCTTGCACCCTGGGGAGGAAGCCTAGATATTTCTTTTGTAAACTTTTCTTGCGCACATTTTAGTCCTCCTTTGAGATGAAAGCAACATAAAACAAAATGTTGGAAGGGGAATATGAGCCATCTTTCCTGAAAAAACCCCTAAAGAAAAGTGTAAAAATATCTCTTTGAGCAATAGCACCAATGAACAATGTTACAGTATGGTAATGAGAGTGGATTGTGTAGGCTTTGAAGTAAGTTTGAAGATTCAATGCTGTTGAAAAACTGCTGTCGATTCGTTTTTTAGCATTTATTATTTATTAATTTCCTCTTGTTCCTGTTCAAGGTTATACATGAAGAAGGTTACTACTACTATGGACCTTAAAGGGCCCATATTACACCATTTTCTGATAAATGTTATAATATTGTTTCAAGCATGATTCCACAGGGTTCTATGGCCCACACTCACACCTGCACAACCAAACCGGACCACAGCCCAATGACGTCATCACACGGTGCTGTTTGTTTATATGTCGAGCAGTAGTGCTATCGAGTTTAGAGAAAATTAGTCCAGCGGCATGAAATATTTATTAAATAGTGAGGCAGATGTGAGTTCTGCTGCTCCTCCGTGAGTTTTTGGATATAATAACAGTGTGAGGGAGTGAGGACAATCAGAGACGAGCCTGCAAAACTTTTCTCACTGTGCACAGTCCTTATTGAAGGAAAGTGCAGATTCACTGTGTGTTTTAGAGTGGAGTTTTATTCACTGATGTCCTAATATGAGTAACATCTGCACACCTGACAGGACTCTTATAGTAAAGCCGTGCGTGTGCGTGTACATGAGCAACCATGCCATGCTTTGGCCCACCTCCTCCAAAAGGCCCAAAGTCTGAAATGTGCCATGCCTTGGCACGGTTTAATTGCACTCACCTTGGACAAACATACCACACGTTAGGGGCTGTGCTTGGTTAGGCTTGTGTGAGTGCACCCTTAAGACTATTCAGGAAATTTACCTGATTTTGATTTCTTCTGATCCAGGTGTATTGTAAAAGCAGCTATTTGTATGGAAACAAGTACAGGCGCTGGTGACTATCCAAGATCAAACTACTCCTAATAAAATGAGTATTTGTATTGAGTTACTGTATACTCCTGGAGAAGGGACTAAATGAGCTTGGCTAACAGTTCCATTAAAGAAAGTTCTTCACTCATTTCAAAATCCTGTACAGGGCCTTTAACACAAGTATGTTTTCAGATGGTGGGGGCAGGCAGGATGGGAACTAGACCTTCAACCACTTTGTTTACAACATTAAGTTCTTTTTTATGTTTCCAAGGCAATATTTTAATTTCACTAGAATTTGGTGTTTTTTAAACATCTGGTCGATTTACTCTGCCATTTACTTGTTTATCAGTGTCAACAAGTGAGCCTAATTTACAGTAAACAAAATGATTGAAACACTTTGCAGAACACTTCCTTCTTATTAATTAGCATCTTTCAGTGTGTCCTCTAGCTGTCAATGACAGAGGAGAGCAGAGGATGAAGGATGGTGAGGGGCTCATTTATCAAATTCAAACAGTTTTTATTAATTCTGAATCATTTATGTAATTAGCAATTTATGCACATATTAGCCTTATGATACAACTCTCACAGTGATGTTGTTTCTTTCAATCCATTTACTTTTGTTAATGTAATATAGGATCTAACCAAGTACAATGTTTATTCATTTTATCTGATTAAGAATATTTAGAACTGCCTTCTTAAAGTATTATTTGATCTATATGAACACTTGAATCGTATATACATACTTTGGTATTCTTAAATTATCTTTACTGCTCACGTAAATGTACCCACTGATCAAGCATAACTATCAATAGTATGGTGGTTATGGAAAAGAAGAAAGCAGTGGGAAGAATCTTGGTGGACATTATTTGCTTTACTGTGAAGTTTTTGTAGGTTATGATACATCATTTGTTCAGGGAATCTTATTTTGAGAAGATGCAGTTTTCTGTGAATGAATAGGATCAAACTGTGTATTACTCTTCACCAACAGCAATCTGTGACAGACAAAATCTCTATTTGAAAACAAGATTAAGGATTTGTAGTGCCTTCTTTGTCCATTTATCAAAGATACTATTATGATTAGAGGACACTGTACAATCCACCACTATAATGCTTCGTGTTGTGTCTTTAGTACCTGTCTGAGAGCAGGAAGGGGCAGACATCAGGCACTGGGGGCGTAGAGGGGCGGAGCTTGGCCAGAGCCATGATGTGTTCAAAGGTGATGTCGGTCTGTGTGCACACGTCCACCACATGGATCTCCTGAGGGGAGCCATGAGGGCGGCCGCTTGCTGTCCTGCGGATGACCTGCACCACAACAGGCTCCCGAGCACTGCAGAAGGACGCCACCCCCTCATCATGGCCGCACTTGGAAAGCTCCTTCCCATTCACCTGCAACAAATGGTAAGATTCACATTAAAGAGTGTACTGTGGAACTGCACTCTATGTATATGCCACATTGGTGTGAAAATCTGAAAACAGTTCAGCAATTCATGAGTTTCAGCTTCTTGTTGTAGGCAACTGTTTACAAATAATGTCACAATCATAGACTGCATAAAGAAGTGGACTGAGGGAGAGCGACGAATCCCATAGCGTTCGGCTCCAGTCAAATGAAGCTACGAAGCAAGCCGTTCCAATGTCTATGTCCATAGTCTATGGTTCCAATCATCAAACACATGATCATAGATGTGGTTAAAATGCCGAACTCATAAATTCAAATATAAATTCATTAAAAACACTAAACCACAATTCCCGAATTTTCCAGTATGTTCAACCCTACAGCAATACCACAGCCTCAAGACTAGGACAACAACATCCAGCGCATAGCAAATTCTTTTCATATACTTTAAATTATTTATTATTTTGTTGATCATGTTGCACTGAATAGACCTGTAAAACATAATGATAATAGAGTTTAACATTGTTTTTAGATAACAGATATGACAAATAAACCTCGGACGTTCTCAAAACAAATTGAGAAAAATCCAGGATACAAAAAACATGTTCTTCCTGGGCATTCATGAAAAAAAAAAATCGGGTGCCATCCAAAAATTCTTAGTATTATATTGGTAATTCTAAGAGAAAAACACATCCCACTGACCAACCACTACCAGCAAAACATTTCCAGGTAAATTTCTATTTAAGTTTGAGGGTCAACAAAACACAATAAGGGACTAGATTAAAATGTTGTCTTGAATTTGTTCCCAAGGAGACCTGAGAATATATTAGAAATTCTGGAAACAGACCCAAACCTGCTTTGAAGTGACATTATCTGAGGGCCAGATCAAAGCAGCCTCTGTTAGGTCCATATTCGTCCTCATCTTCACAAATTGAACTGGCTTCTCCTCCCAGATTGGAAACCCTCCTAACTATTCAGCTGGCACATACAGAGAAAATCATTGCTTCATTTAGCGCCAGTAATTTCTTTGGAATAAGAAAGGCCTGACTGTGGAATCCCTCAGAGAACACGCTTTTGGTCCAAATGCTCAGAATCTGAGATAATGATTTAGATAACCACGAGAGGACAAAGAGAAGGAGCTATGGCGCTAGGTAATTACACCCACTATTGTGTTTAAATGTGTTTTGATAGAGGGCATACTGCTTAGACTGCTGACAAGTTCAAATAGCAATCTCAAAGTAAAAGTAAGAGGAGCATTTATATTCAAAAAAAGTGGCTGGGGAAAACACATTGATCTATTAGACAGAAAACTGCAAGCAACTAACATTAAAAGTGAAAGCTAAAAATGCAATCTATTTAATGGGAAGAAGGCCTCAGGGAACTGTTTGCATAAGTTTAGATGCAGAGAAAACGGTACAGTTGGGCATTGTCAATGATTAAAGTTGGAGAACTTCATATATTACTTTTTATATGATGTCTAATAGGGCTGGGCAACACTGCATTGATCAATCACGGTTTTCAGTTTGAGTCTTTTATCTTGTCAATAACAAATTGTCAGAAAATATTTAATTAAATATTTTTTCCAAATTGTTGAGCCCTAAGGTTAACGAACAGCAACAATATAAACTTTGTCATTTACCACACAAAAACACAAAACCATGTCATTTTTAAAATGAAATTAACTGCACAATCCTTTGTACAGACAAACAGATTCATTCTAATACAACATAAAAACAGAGAAACAACCCACATTCAACCAACATCAATAAGGTATAGCTAATATGCCACTTCTAATCGTTATCAGGAATATAGGAGGGTTTTCCCGCATATAGTATCAATAAGATTTTTAAATATTACCTGTTTTTTTTCACAGTTAAAAGTCACTTTGTAAACTTTACTATAACCTAAAAAAATTGGGGACAATAGATAATACAGATATTAAAATCTTAATATATCAGTTCATTATCTACAGCCGTAAAAAAATATGAGACATTGGTAATGGGACCAAAAGAAAAAAAAATCCATATCAGACCATCCCTACAGTTAATGGAAAGTGCATTTAGGCTAGTACAGGTTTTTTTTCTTTACATATATTCACTCTCTCCCGGGACTCCTATGTCCTACAAACCATATATTTCCTCCATAACATTGCACATCCACACAGTGTCCCTGAGCTCCTGTTGTAACAGTCTGCTCCTCTGCCTCCTCACACGACCTTTGTTTAGAGCAGTGCTGCATTAATCACCAGTACACCACATAAACTGGGTCAACACTCCTCTTGAGTATCCGTGAGGCAATTTGTAAGAAAAAAAAAAAGACTTCCTTTGTGCTTCCGTACCCCTCATCTCTCTCTCCATCCTGCCCGTGAAACCTTTACAGCCAGTCAGCAGATATTAAACACTGCCGCACATACATTGGTTTTAATATTAAAGAAATGTAGTGAACTATGGTAATAACTCAGGACCCAATTCCCAGGGCTTCCACTTGGGCAGCCATCTTGGAACAGGAAACAAAGGACTTGGAGCAGACAAATGAGGTGGTCTATGATGTATGACAAGAGAAAAATGACCGCATTTCCCAGCTATCCCTTTGGTACAGCCTGTCCAATCCGCGCTACTCCTCCTATATCCAATTTCTAACTACAATAAAACAACTAAACACAAAAACACTAGAGTTTTTTTTTCAATCCAATGATTTCCACGACAGCCAGATGGAACAATTAATCCACCAATCAAACGCGGAATATTAAATAGCTTCAACTCTAGCACCAGGGAATAGCTGAATGGTGTCTTCCAAAGTAAATCCCTCACCACTCCTTTGTTTTGTTGTGTACACTCAAAGTCCTATCAGACAGATGGGAAAAGATGGCTACAGCTTTCAAAACACTCTCGGAGATTCTCCCAGCAGAAGAAATGCTTCCAGCGTGGTTTGGGAATGTCTTGATAACAATTTCATTTTCGATTAACCACCTGTTGTAACTAATAGGTGCAGGGTAGACAGACTCGAGTAATGTGGACCAGAATGTAATGGCCATGTTAGCCAATTTATCCAGCACTGGCCCAAGTCATACACATGTGTTCAGACAATTGATAATAAATGTTAAATGTACCAAACAGAAAGAAAGGAAATGGGCATCTGGCTATGGTTGGGCAATGTTGAGAAAAACTACCTTTTTAAATACATTTTACTTATTCTTTTTATCTCAATTACCATACAAATAATACTACAGCAATTCAAGCTTGGCAGAAAATGAGAATGGACTATATAATTATAGAATTCACTGAAAGTTGATACAGTACTAGGGATGTAACAATAAGCAAAATATCATGATATCATATTGTCAAAGGTCTCACAAAAATATCGTGGGCCATCAAAATATATTGAATTACAAACCTCACAATATATTGAATTACAATGAAAAAACTCAGGAAACTAAATAGATCATGATCCTTTGCTCACTTTCAGTGCCGATTACATGAAAAAATAACTGCACTTTCAAATCTTAATTATTTTTATTATGACAGAACCAAAGTCTTGTCAAAGCATTTTAAAAGAAAAAAGTAGCATATTTACAGTTCACACACAAAATATCGCAATAAATATTGTACCATGACATGCATATCGTGGAAGAATCGTATCGAGTAATTTCTATATTGTTACATCTGTATATACAATACTCATAACAGTTCAGCTGATATCCCATTTAGGTCTATAAATTAGTGTAATAAGATGATTTACTGGACAATGTTGGGCCAAAACATCTCATAATATTAAACTTGCATTTTTACAAAGCTGCTTTGTAGTTAGAAAACACATTTGGGTCACTTACTTTATACCTTATGATGTTTGTGTTTAAATTAATAAATTATATTTTCAGTCACTGCCCTGGCATTGGTTGATATTGGATATTGGCAGAAACCGGCAAAAGTATGAACATTGGTATCGGAACTGAAAAACTTGGTCCAGTGTATCTCTAATTTTTAAAACATTTTTTGCAGGCTGTTCAAATAAATGTATTTGATTACAAATCTCCAAAACAACAATTGCAATAATATACATTTTCTGAAATAGCACCCATCTTTTCTTCTAGTTATGATCAAAACACTGTATACTACACTCCTACACTACTTAATTAATGAACACTGGCACACAAGTTTTGGAAAGTGTCTTGCTCAAGGACTCCACAGCAGTACTGGAGAAAGCTTCTGCTAAAGTGCACACTGCCATTAATAAGCAAGTGTAATATACCAGAGAGGCAACTTTTGAAAATACTGGATTGATAATACTGAACGGAAAATATTTAAAGCTAACAATATCTGTTCAAGTGTTTACTCAAAGTGCAGAAATATAAATATTTCTCTAAACATATAATACTCAACTAAATCCTCACAAATTATTTAGCAGCTGTAGTATTTACCAAGCCCTTTGCGATCACTCCTTGACCTGCATGTCTCCATTCATAGACACTGTCAACATGAATTACCCCCCAACTCTGGGAAGCCACCATAATAATTATTCATATAAAGTGGATTTGCTCTACCCCTGGGCCAGGAAATGATCAGGTAAACGTGAAATTTGGAGAGAAAGAGATGGAGGATGAAGAAATTGGACGATGGATTCATATTCTGTCTGTTTACACACGGATATGCAGCAGCTGTAGCCTGGAGAGTGCTGTGTGTTTTCAGTTTAAGCCCTTGAGACCACCAGCAGACTTGCCTCCAAAGCTAACGCACAAAAGCAGCTTAGCAGAGTGAATCGAAAGGGATCAAGCCTCCTTTTTCGCTCCCGGTTTTGAATGTGCGGCATGTGGTATTGATAGAATTCACAAGTTGTGTACTCTTGGGAAGCCTGGGTGTAACAAGGTAAAAGTTTTATTTTTGTGGAGCTAAAAGCTGTTGAGGGAGAAATTTAAGAGTAAGTAAGATACTTGAAGAATCTCACCCAGGAATTGTAAGTTCAGAATGTTAAAACACCCGTAGATAAATTGTTTACC